GATGCGCCAGATGCGCCACGTGCTCTACGTGCGCCAAGTGTGCCGCATGCTCCAGCCGTGTCAGGTGCGCCGGTTTCGCGGTAAACGCAGGGTGTGCCAGGTGCACCCGCGCACATCGGTAAACATGTCGGCCCTCACCATCCTTGTAAAAAACCAATGCATTGTGGTTGCGTAGTGGCCATCGTGGTGTCTTGTGGGCTTGGCACACAGCAGGCAGCATGCCAGACCACCCGCCGTCCCTGTCACGATGCAAAGTGATCGCGGGGTGCCCGCGCATGATCCCGATTTAGCCGCGAAGTGAAGTTTGTAGAGATTTTCGGCCAGGATGGTGGCCGTGTGCACAGCAGGCCATGTGCTGGCACCGTCACCGCCCGTGTCAAAAAGCATTACAAGCTGCTCGCGGGGTCCCTGGAGATGACCCGCGATTTTTCCGCAAAGTGCATGGTCGCATGGTTTTTTTGCAGAGATGGGGGGGGGTGTCGTCATTGTCCCTGGCTTGTCGTTGGTCGGGTGGGGTGGGGGGCTAGATTAATAAGGAGCAGTGATCGACCTCTCACTGAAGGGGAAAACAGGGGAGCAAGTATGGGTGGGCTCATCACAGGACAACCACATGACAAGTACAGAGCAACCAGCCACATGACAACCGCGCGACAATCATGGGACAAATTGGACAGCCACAGGGCAACCACGGGACAACTACGGGATAACCACGGGACGACCACGAGACAATTACGGAACATGATCTGACTATCCAGCGGTCTCACTATACCTACCGATGTCACTCTCATTCGATCGGGTGATCTCACGATCGATGGGTCTCACCGTGTATGTGTCTTCATCATTGTCACTCCCCCTACCGGTAACATCATTCATCGGTCCCATTACCTCTCCATCCCTTTCGGAACCATTCAATCGATCGATCACATAACGTATGTGCATGTACTTGCGGCAGGACCACCACGGGTCGATAGACGAGGCAGCTTCGGGACAGCCGCAGGACAACCGCAGGAACCACGGGGCCGGCCGCGCGACAGCCACTGGGCGACCACGGGAAAACCCCCCCCGACGACCGCGGGACAGGCATGGGTCAGGAGGGAAAAAAACACACAGACACAATTAATCGTCGATTTCCCAGAAAATATGGGAAAATATGGGAAGTGGTGGGGAAGACAAAAACCCAGAAAATATAGGAATATAGGAAAATATGGGGAATCTTTTTGTTTGTGTGTATTTATTTGTGTGTCCCAGTTTCCCTTCAGTGGGACCACCGCGGGACGGCGACCGGAGAGCCGCGTGGCCGCCACGCCATCGGGGCTGCGGCGGGTCAACCGCGGGACAAAGCTGCGGAGAGTCGCCGCGGGGCAGCCGCGGGACAGCAGGGGGGGGACGGCCGCGGGGCGGCCGCGGGACGATCGCGGGACGCCACAGGGCAGCCGCGGAAGAGCTTCCGGAGACAATCGCGGGGACATTCGCGGGACAGCCCGGAACCCACCGCCTTCCGACGGGTAATAAGTCGGAGGGCACCAATTATACACCAACACCGATCCTGGCCAGGATCACCCTGGGCCCAGGATCGGTGTATATGCCTGCATGCGCAAGGCAGGAGGACGTATACACCGATCCTGGGCCCAGGGTGATCCTGGCCAGGATCGGTGTTGGTGTATAGTTGGTGCCTTCCTAATAAGAAGTGACGACACGCTGCCCCAACAAAGTTGGGGATCTCACGTACCCTCGCGCAGCGTCGCCTCGCCCGCGCGCGCTTCGCGCACCACGCGAAGCGCAGTCGAGACCGAGTTCCTGATCGGGGGATTCCGTCTTTCTTTGCTCTTTCTCCCAATGTCCAGCGGCACCAATAGCATATGTCATGACACACACACACATCAATCGTTCACACCATTACGTCGTCCGTCAATGATATGCATCAAGAGCGAATGACAAGACGTCACGCCATTGTCATACACCAGCACCATATACCAAGAACGCGTACCATTCTTCATAATTACCTGCATCGCTTACGCCAATGGCACACGCTACAAGCAACCACCCGTATCTCACACACCCATGCCATGCGTCAGTAGCAGACAACAATAACGGATACCAGGGACATACGGCAACAACGCGAATCAAGAACGCACACCGATAACATGCATCAAGGCTAGGCACCATGAACAAACACCAGTAACACCAACTCACCGCGAACATGCAGCAAACACATGCGCTACGCTCGAACACAAATTCCGTGCGCCAAGAACAGGCATCATGAGCGCACATCAATAACATACCCTAGTAGCATGTTAGTATCACAGATCAAGGCTGTATGCCAATGTTAAGCAGTAGTCGCATATCCGTAAGGGCTTCGCCCCCTGCCGCCGGCCCCCTCTCTCGGAGAGTAGGCCATGGAAGAGCGAAGTCATGATGCTTTGGCTTCGCCGTGAAGCAGTGTCGGGACCTGTTTGTTTTTCGACCCTGACCCTACGGATCTGTGTGAGGGGTGCCGCCGAATTTCAGGAATGTGGCAACTCCCCTGTGTTTTTGGACCCTGACCCTACGGATCTGCGTGAGGGGTGCCGCCGAATTTCAGAAATGTGGCAAATCCCTTGTGTTTTTGGACCCTGACCCTGCCGATCTGCGTGAGGGGTGCCGCGGAATTCCAGAAACGTGGCAAATCCGATGTGTTTTTGGACCCTGACCCCGCCGATCTGCGTGAGGGGTGCCACATGTGGCACATCCTTTTTGTTTTTGGATCCTGACCCCGCCGATCTGCGTGAGGGGTGCCGCCGAATTTCAGCAATGTGGCAAATCCCTTTGTTTTTGGACCCTGACCCCGCCGATCTGCGTGAAGGGTGCCATTGAATTTGAGAAATGTAGAAAATCCTTTGTTTTTGGACCCTGACCCTGCCGATCTGCGTGAGGGGTGCCGCCGAATTTCAGAAATGTGGCAAATCCCTGGTGTTGTTGGACCCTGACCCGCCGATCTGCGTGAGGGGTGCCACCGAATGTCAGAAATGTGGCAAATCCCATATGTTTTTGGACCCTGACCCCGCCGATCTGCGTGAGGGGTGCCACCGAATTTTAAACATGTGGCAAATCCTTTTTGTTTTTTAGATCCTGACCCCGCCGATCTGCGTGAGGGGTGCCGCCGAATTTCAGAAATGTGGAAAATCCTTTTTGTTTTTGGACCCTGACCCCGCCGATCTGCGTGAGGGGTGCCAGGACATTTTAGAAATGTGGCAAGTCCTTTGTGTTTTTCGACCCTGACCCCGCCGATCTGCGTGAGGGGTGTAATTATTTACATACCCCAGCAATTCAGACAATACGATTTGGGCGGGGTAAAAATGCCTGTTTTGGGCCTTCCCCCCTCGCGCGGTCCATCGTCCAGGAGCAGTAAGCAGCAAGAAGCAGAACTGTAACAAGGAACAGTAAGCAGCAAGAAGCAGAACTGTAACAGTGCGAACCTCCGGCCTACAGCCTGGTGGCCCCACAAGGGGGCCGGCGGATTTTACATTCCTGTCGTACGCTGGGGCAGTATTCCAAGCTCAAACATCAATAGCATAGTCCAGCATTCTTTGCCAATAACCAGATCCTCAGCATCAACCAATACTACACACCACGATTATGTACTAACCACATCATTTAACCATGTGCAGGCACGAACACATCCATGCATAACATGCGTTTGTAATATGCATCAGGAACTCGCACCAATGGAATCAACAATAAAACCTCGCACAATTGCAACACTTCGCAATTTCCCACGACATCGCAACCTGAGCGTAAATAAGTGTCACTCGCGAACGACAGAACAGCATATATACACCACCCATATGACTAAAGTGCGCACCTAACACATTGAACCTGTACGCGCATACACTAAGCATGCAGACCCTGTGCAACGACCATGCCTCAGCAATCATGCAACACACCTCGTAGTAGATTCATCACACGCGACAGCCTTGGAGACTAGGTGCAGCAGCTCCCTGGTGAGGGTCGCCCGAAGCAGTGCGCTTTGTTTTCGGTGAGCTCGCCACGAACTCGAGGGCCTGCATCTTCTTCGCCGTTTCTGGGCTCGCGAGGCCCCCTTTGGATACAGCGGCCGTCAAGAAACGACTTAGTAGAAACGACTTAGTTGATAAGCCGGCCCTGGGAAGGCGAGGGGATCAGTCGACTACACGTAAGAGTGGCCCTTCGCCAGAGTGACCTTTGGTGCGGGGCCACTGGAGTCCCCCGATCACCGAACGCGATGCAGTAGTCGCGTCTTGCGCGCTTGTGTTTGGTTCCCCCGCGGCCCCCCAAAGCCGCGCACCAAAGGTCGCTCTTACCCAGGGTCACTCTTGCGTATAGTCGAGCGGGGACCAGGGACCGTGACCCGTTTCCTTCAGGGTCCGATTCCATTCATGCCAACCTTCTTCGTCGTCCTCCCAGACCGAGCATATTCGTGGTGTTGGGTCCCCCTGGGAGGAGCGACGAACGGGAACGAGGCGCAATGTGGGATGTTCGATGCGTACCCGTTCATGTGCAGCTACTCCGGAGACTACTACGACGACGACGACTTCACCACGGTGGACATGTGCTGCTCGTGTGGTGGTGGAGCAGCCCTGACGGGAGCACCGAGTGCCGCTCCGACGGCAGCTCCGTCAATAGCGCCAACAGCAGCCCCGACGGCGGCTCCGACGGCAGCTCCCACTGCAGCGCCGACCCCCGCACCTCCCTGTTTTGACACGCACGGAGGAGCGACGAATGTAAACGCGGCGCAGTGTGCGATGTTCGATGCGTACCCGTTCATGTGCAGCTATTCCGGAGCTTACTACGACGACGACGATTTCACCACGGTGGACATGTGCTGCTCGTGTGGTGGCGGAGGGCTGACGGCACCGAGTGCAGCGCCGACGGCAGCTCCGACATCAGCTCCCTCTCCAGCACCGACCCCGGCACCGCCCTGTTTTGACACGCACGGAGGAGCGACCAATGTAAACGAGGCGCAGTGTGGGATGTTCGATGCGTACCCGTTCATGTGCAGCTATTCCGGAGCTTACTACGACGACGACGATTTCACCACGGTGGACATGTGCTGCTCGTGTGGTGGGGGAGGGCTGACGGCAGCACCGAGTGCCGCTCCGACGGCATCTCCGACAGAAGCTCCCACAGTAGACCCCACGGGGGCCCCCACAGCACTGCCGACAGCGGCTCCAACTGTGGCGCCAACAGCAGCCCCGACGGTGGCTCCGACGGCTGCACCCACCGCAGCGCCGACGGCAGCTCCGACACCAGCTCCCTCTGCAGCGCCGACCCCCGCACCGCCCTGTTTCGACACGCACGGAGGAGCGACCAATGTAAACGAGGCGCAGTGTGGGATGTTCGATGCGTACCCGTTTATGTGCAGCTACTCCGGAGCCTACTATGACGACGACGACTTCACCACGGCGGACATGTGCTGCTCGTGTGGTGGGGGAGGGCTGACGGCAGCACCGAGTGCCGCTCCGACGGCATCTCCGACAGAGGCTCCCACAGGGGCCCCCACAGTACTGCCGACAGCGGCTCCAACTGTGGCGCCAACAGCAGCCCCGACGGCGGCCCCTACTGCAGAACCTACGGCAGTGCCGACAGCAGCTCCAACGATAGCGCCAACAGCAGCCCCGACGGTGGCTCCGACGGCTGCACCAACTTTAGCACCGACGGCAGTGCCGACAGCAGCTCCAACGACAGCTCCAACAGCAGCTCCGACCATAGCGCCAACAGCAGCCCCGACTGCGGCTCCGACGGCTGTACCCACTGCAGCGCCGACAGCAGTGCCGACAGCAACTCCAACGATGGCGCCAACAGCAGCCCCGACGGCTGCACCCACTGCAGTGCCGACATCAGCTCCGACACCAGCTCCCTCTGCAGCACCGACACCGGCACCGCCCTGTTTCGACACGCACGGAGGAGCGACGAATGTGAACGAGGCACAGTGTGGAATGTTCGATGCGTACCCGTTCATGTGCAGCTACTCTGGAGCCTACTATGACGACGACGACTTCACCACGGCGGACATGTGCTGCTCGTGTGGTGGGGGAGGGCTGACGGCAGCACCGAGTGCCGCTCCGACGGCATCTCCGACAGAGGCTCCCACAGGGGCCCCCACAGTACTGCCGACAGCGGCTCCAACTGTGGCGCCAACAGATGCCCCGACGGTGGCCCCTACTGCAGAACCTACGGCAGTGCCGACAGCAGCTCCAACGATAGCGCCAACAGCAGCCCCGACGGTGGCTCCGACGGCTGCACCAACTTTAGCACCGACGGCAGTGCCGACAGCAGCTCCGACGACAGCTCCAACAGCAGCTCCGACCATAGCGCCAACAGCAGCCCCGACGGCTGCACCCACTGCAGTGCCGACATCAGCTCCGACACCGGCTCCCTCTGCAGCACCGACACCGGCACCGCCCTGTTTCGACACGCACGGAGGAGCGACGAATGTCAACGAGGCGCAGTGTGGAATGTTCGATGCGTACCCGTTCATGTGCAGCTATTCTGGAGCCTACTATGACGACGACGACTTCACCACGGCGGACATGTGCTGCTCGTGTGGTGGGGGAGGGCTGACGGCAGCACCGAGTGCCGCTCCGACGGCATCTCCGACAGAGGCTCCCACAGGGGCCCCCACAGTACTGCCGACAGCGGCTCCAACTGTGGCGCCAACAGAAGCCCCGACGGCGGCCCCTACTGCAGAACCTACGGCAGTGCCGACAGCAGCTCCAACGATAGCGCCAACAGCAGCCCCGACGGTGGCTCCGACGGCTGCACCAACTTTAGCACCGACGGCAGTGCCGACAGCAGCTCCAACGATAGCGCCAACAGCAGCCCCGACGGTGGCTCCGACGGCTGCACCCACTTTAGCGCCGACGGCAGTGCCAACAGCAGCTCCAACGACAGCTCCAACAGCAGCTCCGACCATAGCGCCAACAGCAGCCCCGACTGCGGCTCCGACGGCGGTACCCACTGCAGCGCCGACGGCAGTGCCGACAGCAACTCCAACGATAGCGCCGACAGCAGCCCCGACGGCTGCACCCACTGCAGTGCCGACATCAGCTCCGACACCGGCTCCCTCTGCAGCACCGACACCGGCACCGCCCTGTTTCGACACGCACGGAGGAGCGACGAATGTGAACGAGGCACAGTGTGGAATGTTCGATGCGTACCCGTTCATGTGCAGCTACTCAGGAGCCTACTATGACGACGACGACTTCACCACGGCGGACATGTGCTGCTCGTGTGGTGGGGGAGGGCTGACGGCAGCACCGAGTGCCGCTCCGACGGCATCTCCGACAGAGGCTCCCACAGGGGCCCCCACAGTACTGCCGACAGCGGCTCCAACTGTGGCGCCAACAGATGCCCCGACGGTGGCCCCTACTGCAGAACCTACGGCAGTGCCGACAGCAGCTCCAACGATAGCGCCAACAGCAGCCCCGACGGTGGCTCCGACGGCTGCACCAACTTTAGCACCGACGGCAGTGCCGACAGCAGCTCCAACGATAGCGCCAACAGCAGCCCCGACGGCGGCTCCGACGGCTGCACCAACTTTAGCACCGACGGCAGTGCCGACAGCAGCTCCGACGACAGCTCCAACAGCAGCTCCGACCATAGCGCCAACAGCAGCCCCGACGGCTGCACCCACTGCAGTGCCGACATCAGCTCCGACACCAGCTCCCTCTGCAGCACCGACACCGGCACCGCCCTGTTTCGACACGCACGGAGGAGCGACGAATGTCAACGAGGCGCAGTGTGGGATGTTCGATTCGTACCCGTTCATGTGCAGCTATTCTGGAGCCTACTATGACGACGACGACTTCACCACGGCGGACATGTGCTGCTCGTGTGGTGGGGGAGGGCTGACGGCAGCACCGAGTGCCGCTCCGACGGCATCTCCGACAGAGGCTCCCACAGGGGCCCCCACAGTACTGCCGACAGCGGCTCCAACTGTGGCGCCAACAGATGCCCCGACGGTGGCCCCTACTGCAGAACCTACGGCAGTGCCGACAGCAGCTCCAACGATAGCGCCAACAGCAGCCCCGACGGTGGCTCCGACGGCTGCACCAACTTTAGCACCGACGGCAGTGCCGACAGCAGCTCCAACGATAGCGCCAACAGCAGCCCCGACGGCGGCTCCATCGGCTGCACCAACTTTAGCACCGACGGCAGTGCCGACAGCAGCTCCAACGACAGCTCCAACAGCAGCTCCGACCATGGCGCCAACAGCAGCCCCGACGGCTGCACCCACTGCAGTGCCGACATCAGCTCCGACACCAGCTCCCTCTGCAGCACCGACACCGGCACCGCCCTG